ATAACACATTATACTTGGTGGGTAAGGATGTGGGGGCGGGGCAGTTCCAAACAGCTTAGGAGGACAAGGAATACATGACCAAAATTTGTATGAAAAAAAAAAGATAAAAAAGAATTGGGCTAGAAATAACCTTTTATAACAAGCATAAGAATTTTTTCATGTTTATTTATTTGAGTTTTGTGAACATGGGTATATATGAGCTTGCTATGGCAAGCATGCAAATATCAGAGGATATATCTACCATGTGTGTCCCAGAGATTGAACTCAGATGTCTAGGCTCATCTGTAAGTGTCTTTAGCACCTGAGCCATCTCTCTGGCCCAGTTTAGTCTAATCCACAAGATTCTCAAAATGAATGCAAGAAAATACTAATAAAACATTGTTTTTACAAGATGTCTGTAAAGCTTATGAATGGGCAGATTCCTGAACAACTTTAAGGTGTGGTTTGGTTCTATTGCCATCAAAGTTTTAACCAACTGATCTTTTTTTAAAAAATGAGAGAACAGAGTTGGGCAGGTAAGGAATTGGGAGGGGGGGTAGGTTCTGAGAAGAGTTGAAAGAGAGAAAAAAAATGTTTAAAATTTGTGTGAAAAATATTTTTGATTAAAAGAATTGAACTAGAAAAATGGCTAAATGAGTAAAGGCACTTGCCACCAAGCATGACAACTGAAGTTCAGCCTGGAACCCACATGGAGAAAGGAGAGAACTGACACTTGAGTACAGCTCCTTACACACTACACACACACATAGATCACACATCACACACACAAAACATACAACACACACACAACACATGCACATACAACACACACAACTAAATGTAATAATTTTCAATGTTGAATCCTTATGAAAAGATATGTCTAGAAATTTTGACATTCCTAAATACACAATTTATGTAATTATATGTGTGTATGCATGTATGTATGTGTGTGTATATATGTGTGTGTGTGTATACATATGTATATATATATATTTTATATAATTTTGTTCAACTGTTTATGTCCATCTCACATTATTCCTCTGCCATGTCTAAGAGTCACTTTTGAGTCATTTCCATGATGGGACTGTAAGAGAGCTTTAAGACAGAGAGACTGTCCAGCACAAACCAGAAAATAGGGGCAAGCTCGCGGGGTGCTACCCATCTGTAGAGGAAGCTTGAGAGTCAAGTGTCCTCACTCTGAAGCGCCTAATTGATTTCCAAGTAGACAGTGATCTGATCTGTGAATGGTTTCTAGAAAAGTAACTCACTGTGTTTCTTCCTGCTTGTGAAATGTGTTCAGTGTCCCTTAAAATAAATAAAACTTTAGCATTGGTTAACTTTGCCAAATGCCTACCTGTCCATGGTTAGGGCAGCTACACACCTGAAATGCTTTTAAGGTCTCTAAGCAGCGTGGGCCGGGGTGTGAGTCAGCGAGAGAATGCTCATGTACCATTAATGAGGTCCAGGGTCTCAATCAGTTGGAACCTTACTCCTTTTTATATTAAAACCTTGAAAACCCTGCTTCTGAAAAGAATAAATGAAAACCACAAATAAATTGTTGGATGAATGAGTTCCTGAAAGAAGTCAGAGCTTAATGTTCAGTCTTTTGTGAGCTGGAGTATAAAAGTGGTTGCTCTCCTTGGCTATTAAACGCTCACCCCATTCCTCCTGCGGCCTGCACAAGCAGCTCTCTCTGTGGACTGACTCCGCTCCCAAGCCTCACTCACACACTCATGTCTCCAGCTCTTGTCCCTGGTTATTTGGTGTTTTTACAGTTCATACTGCAGCTACAGTAACTGATTAAAGAAAAAACTGATGTTAAGACATTTGATATCCAAAAGGATACCTCATTCCTACAGGAAAATAATACAGACCTCCTTAAGGATATAAACTACATAGTTTATATGCTTGTTGCTGGCGGTTATAATAATTTTAATGTGAAAACTCGTTGTTCTTTGTGATGTCCTTATTGGTGAGCATTCCATTTCAGCAGATGTACAATGAGCCTTTAGCTCAGATCTTCTAGTCATAGCTTACCCCACAGTAGCCTTCAGTCATCTGTCTTGCATTTTTCAGGTTTTGAAACTAAAAAGAATTTAGGATTTACAGGAGTGGCAGCATTCGCTCTGCAGTGATGAAAATGTAGTTGTAATTTTAAATTTAAAGTAATTTTGAAAGAAGAGGTAGTTACAAGGTAAGGTAAAACAAGAGTAAATGATTTATGGGCATTTTATAATGGCAGTCTTCATTTTAAGCTACAGTGTAAAGTGCTTTATTCTGAGATTAGGTATTGTGGCAGAAGCTAACACTGCCTTTTCTATTGCAGTGCCGGAATACAACCTCTTTCTTTCTGCTCTAACAAGACTGCTCCACCACCACAGCCCACTCTAAGTAATTAAATCAAGCCTTTGTACTTACCGTATTCTCCTCTAGTGACGGTACTAGATCTGATTATATGCTTCATGCATATTCAAAGTACCTCGCTGACAGCTCTTTAATGAGCTCTTACTTAATCAGTATGAACAGTGTTCATCTTGTTCTTTTTTTCCTCGTGCATTAGAGCTAGGAACAGTTGGGAAAAATGAAACATCCAGCATTCATTTGAAAAATATATTGTACTTTGAAAAGTGTCTAAGCGGAGGAAGTTGCATTCTGCCCTTTAAAAGTCTGATGGACAAATTGGATTACTAGTATTGGATTAAATAACAAATGGTTAGAGGAGAAATGAGAAAAGCTCACTGTGATCAGAGGCTTTAATATTTTTTGTTGCTTATAAAGCTAAAGGGGTCTTTAACCAGTTATTAAAGTCAGGATTAATTTGTAATGGTTCAACTTACTGGCTTTTAAAAGCTTTTAAATTTAAAAAATTTTAAATCCCTATAAACAATAGTGTACTGATATGTTAGAAGAAACTTTTTTTATTAGTGTAAATTTCTATCACTTTATACTACCTCAGATAAGGACAAATGATACAGAATGTTTTTTTTTTCCAGTGAATAGAAGTAAGCTGTATAGCAATGTGTAAATGTATCTGTAAATATTGTTAGGTTTATTTCCTTTTGAAACATGGGAGTTTTATTATTATTTATTTCCTAACAATTACATTGGTATCTTTGATTCTTACCTAGAAATAGAAATATGCATTAACAAGAAAATCACACAGTTCCACATCAATATTGTTAAACGTAGGAAGCAGGGTTCCACTGAAGAGAATGATGTCACTGTAAGAGTAGGCTGGCTGCTTCTAGTGCAGCTTCAGTTATAGGTAAAGTTAAACTCAAAACAATGTTTTCATGTGTCTGTATCTTTAGAAGCCACTTGGATTATGAATACAAGAATTGGATCTTTAATCAGAAAATGAGGTATCTTAAATCTACGCCTATTAATATTGCACACATGTGTCAGTTCACTGATCAAAACGCTTCCACCGGGGTACATTTGGCCTTTTTCCAAACTGCAAGCTTTTTCTCAGCTTTTTCTTTTTACTCTTTCTTCTTTTGTTGCTTCCCAGGGATTTGTGCCTATCACTGCCTGTGTCACATGACCAGTGTCAAGACATCACATGGTCCAAACTGAATACAAAACCAACTACCCTAAAGGAAAGATTAAAAGTACTGTAAAACAATAAAGACTTTTTGAGTCTCTGAAAGAGTCTATCTTAGGTCATCACACGTTGAGGTCTAACAAAGTGAAATGACCAGTACCTCGTCACTGTTCTTCCTGATGACAGGCAGCATCCTGAAGTTCATAAATTTCCCATAATTTATAAAGTCAATATTTAGTCAATATGACAAAATACACAACAGGTTATTTATATATCATCTCACTAAAGTGAAAAAAAAGTCTGTCTGTAGACAGAGGGTATGCATGTGTTTAACAGACATGGCAGTTTGTGCCTGAGAAGAGCAAATGTCTGTGACAGGGCCTACTTTTTAAGGAGTTCTAAAGTGAGGAGACTGAGTGCTAATATTAGACTCTTTAAAGACAGTGATATCTCTGTATTGTTTGAAATGTTTAAATAGACTCAGTGTCTTCAATTTGTAAATGGAACTATCACACTTAAGAAAATGTAGAGAATGGTCTTTTCAGGGATGTTCAATTAGACATTTGAGTTTATCCTATGAATGTTGTACAGCAATTGGCCTGTTAATATTAAATAATGGGTTAGCAAAGCAACAAAACAACCATTGATGAAACTTGGAAGGGAAAAAGAAGGGAAAGGATTGCAAATCTGACCTGGTATAATTTGAAAGGTGTTTTTCTTCACTACACACGTGACCTGCAGGTCACCGCACATGACCAGTATCAAGGGGTATGTGCTATAACCGTAATCCTGTGTGGGGAGCAGAGGCAGAGCTGACTGTAAAGTGCCTCTGGGCTGGAGTTCCTTCACAAGCCAGATGTCAGAATGTCTCTTTAATGAAAATTTTAAAAATACTCTATTCTCTGTGATGATGTTTTCCACAGAGAGCCATATGTCTTCCTTGTAGTCTTGTTGTTTACGGTACACTTAATGACGTGTAAGTAGTTTATCTTTTAGAGTCAATGAGCCCTTGTGGTACACACACATAAGGTATTTTACTTTCCAGGAGGAAAACAAGAGGTCGTTAAAAGTAAAAACTTTGACAGCGTCTCTGGGCTTCTCTAGTCTCCCTGCTAGCCTGAACAATGCTCATAATAGTTTTTATTAACTCAAGACCATATGCCTGTCAGCACCCTGGATTCCTCACTGAAATAATAGCAAGTCAGCCTCTGGGAGGGTTAGAAGGTGAGCCTTCTGTTTAAGGTGATTGGTGTTAGTATGTTCCACAGGTAGGTTCAGAGGACTAGAACTCAGGCTGCATAAGTACCAGCTCTGGAAGACCAGCTTCTGAGTTTTTAAATACTGCTCTGTTTCAGGCCTGGAACTGAGTCTTGTAAGCAGTTTAGAGCACCTCAAATATTTTCCAAGTGAAAAAGTTGTCCTGAACTGGTTTTTGGCTTGCAGGGTGTCACATAACACTGTTCTTTGTGATCTGCAGGAAGGAACACGGAAGAAGAGGAGGCTATGATGCAGGAATGGTTCATGCTAGTTAATAAGAAAAACGCCTTAATAAGGAGGATGAACCAGCTCTCCCTCCTGTGAGTATCCAGCCTTACACTAGCCAGTCTGGGGCTTCTGTCAGGGCCTTCTTTAGGTTTTAATATTTACTAAGCTTAATTTTTTTTCCTTTCCTTAGAAAGTCAGTATATAAAAATATTCATCTGAGCAGTAAGAATTTGCAGATGGACTGCTAGACACTGGGGAAACGTGGTTTTTAAAATCATGAAACAGGGAACAATTTTTGAGTATAAAGTATTTTTAAATTTTTATTTACTATTGTATGTGTGTGCATGTGTGTATGTGGGGTGCGTGTGTGTGCATGCATGTATATGCGTGCGTGCATGTGTACATGTACATGAGTGCACACTACAGTGGCAGTATGGAAACCAGAAGACAAACTGTGGAGATAATTCTCTTCCTCCGCTTTATATGTGAGTTCTGGAAAACAAATTCAGGTCGTCAGCCTCAAGGCAGGGCCCTCCGCACCTTTTCACCAGCCCCCAGTCATGTTTGAGAAATAAATCCCTTGTGCAGAAGAGGATTAGCTTTCACTTGGGTTTAGTGGAACCCTCCAGAAAAGTAAAACTCAAGTTTGTTTTTAAAAGTCTAAGTTTAAAAAATAAAAGTCTTTTAAAGACAAAGTACATTTATTATGTATAGGTCATGTTAATATAAATTCTGGGATAAGAAATTAATTACTCTGAGTATAGTGAGCGAAGTCTGTGGAGACAAGTCCACATACAAGCATCTGAGCCTTCAACATTTAGTTCACTGGAGGGGTTAATGTTCACCCTGATCTACTCATTAGCTAGCGTTCCTGTAGTATACCAGTATTGTGGGCCAGCTTACCATGTCTTTATTTGGATGCAAAACCCTAAGTTTATCATTTTTTTCCTTGCCTGAACCTGATGAAAACCTGGACTTGTCTGTGTTTTCAGTTTTCACTGAGTTCACTCATTTGTGTTTCTTCTTTCCACATGAGGTTTTCAGTAAAAGTATTGTGAACTATGGATAACATTTTACCACAGAGCCTTATACCTGGCAATACAAGCAACATTTAAGAGTGCAACTGCTTACCTTTAAAGTGTCCCTTTGCCATTCTGAATGGAAGGAAGAAAATAACACTACCAAGCATTCAACTGAGGGAGGTTTGGGGTCTGTATATCATTTGTTTAGAGTGGCTTAAAGTTAAATAGCAAGTCAGTTATGACTCCCAAAATCAATGTGAACTCAGGAGGTTTTTTTAAGGGTTTAATGATTTAGTAATTAGCATATTGATGAACTTTTTACCACTTGCCTAGGGAAAAAGAACATGACTTAGAACGAAGGTATGAGCTGCTGAACCGGGAGCTTCGGGCCATGCTAGCCATTGAAGGTAAGGGCCTGGTAAGCTGGGCCATGCTAGCCATTGAAGGTAAGAGGCTGGTGAGGGCTGGGAGGTGCCAGCTGTCAATGGGATTTAAAGTGTGCTATGCATGTTTGGTTTAACTAGGTCAGTTCTGTTCTGTACCTACAGAAGTTGCATGTGTGCCTTGAAGACAGAAAACAGTATCCAGAAACTAACTTATAGAGTTTAGATAGCTAATCACTGTGTTTACTATTAACAGAACTTACTTTTTGAGTCAGTAACAATACATTTCTATAAAAGATAAAATGTATGAGGTAACTGATTTTAGTTGCATTTTGACATGCATTTTAAAGTTGTTTCCATTGAGGGGCTTCAATAAAGATTCATTGTTTTGATTACTTATGATCAGGATACTGTAGTTCTTTTCTGGTTTCCTTTGCTTTGTTTTTAGGCAGGGTCTCCCTCTTTATCCCAGATTGGCCTACAGCCTGGCCTAGAACTCAGTGTTGTAGCCCAGAGTGGTTGCCATCTCGTGGAAGTCCCCCAGCCTCAGCTAGGATTCCAGGAGTCAGCCGCCACACCCAGCCTGTTATGCTTCTTCAGGCTTCATGCCTGTTAAGTAAACATTTGGGCAATGATTGGTATAATAAGAGAAAATTAAATACTTGCACACTTTTGTAAGGCATTGAGATGGATGGTGTAGAAATGCTATGCATAGTTCAGGTTGTATGTGAGCATCAGCTAGCTCAAGTTTAGCATTTACTATATTTTTTTAAGTTCTGAAGTGTTTTATAATGCTCTTCTTATATCTCTTGTTAAAAATGCCTTATAGTTCAAAGATTTTTGCTTAAAAGCTAATCCTTTGGGCTCTGTAAAATAGATCTTTTGTCTAATCAATGCAAATTGATTTTCCTGTTCTATATTGACCTCTTAACCCATTGACTGTCCATGGTAATTTCGTTTTCACCTGATAAGGTACCTGATCCATAAGTCAATTCTAATTAGTTCAGAAACTAGAAATTTAAGTTTGTAAGTGAAAGCCAAGGGAAGACTTACATTCTTAAAATATTTCACAATATATTGCTTTAAAGTAAGGCCTATTTTTCAGTGACCTTGTATGCTATAGAAGCTTTACTTTAATTACTTTCCTATCTATAATCTCATTTGATAATATCACTGATAACATTTGTATATCTTCATTTTAAAACTCAATTTACTTTGCTTTTAAAAGCTTCACTTAGCTAATTGCCTTCAAATGGCTAAATGTGTCAAATATCATTGATAACTATTAAATTTTTCAAAATTATTTTAGAATGTTTATGAAATTTGCCACTGCAACAAAATGCACAAGTACACGAAATGGTATTTTTCCTTTAGATATAATTTTTCTAGTTATAGTAATTTTTTTTAAAAAAGAGACAAGAAAGCTAAATAGTTGAAAAGTAGATGCAGCAGTTACTATATAACTAGGATATATGTATAATGTATCTGTATATAATATATAACTCATTATACAGTATATTCATTATACATTACACTCAATGTAAAGTAGTCTTAATTTGTTTTTATATCCATCTTCTTCTGTATAGAAAGATAAATTGTCCCTAAAATACAGCTTTATACAGTATAATTGGCTTTTAGGGCAGAGATGATATACTGTTTTTATTCCCCAAACCAGTATTATTACTAAATATGCATTTTATAACACCCTTACACATGGAAAATATCCCAGTTTCATTGGCCATCTGTATGTGTAGGCTTAGAGTCTACCATTTGTTCTGCCTTAGGTTCTTACACATAGAGAGGAGCAGTGAAAGCCAATTTTAAAAAACTTTAAATGTAACTATTAGTCTTTTGCGTCCCCTCCACATCCTCTCCTCTCCAACACACAAGCATTTTAAATTGCATTGTTCTCTATGAGACTGTGCTTCAAGTCTCATGTGTCACTGTGTCAGTTTCCCATTAAGAGAAAAGGGGGAGTCTTGAGGAAAAGAACAGCCTGTTGATTGCAGACAGAGGCGCTTAGAGAGATGCCTGACTCAGTAGGATAAGCAGGACATCGGCAGGGCTGCCCTCAGCATGGACATGTGAACTTCAGCAGCCTTTTCAGACCCCAGAGCCAAACATGGGAAGAGACAGCAATAGCCCTATGTTGTTTCCCTTTATTTAAATATGCACTGTCTTCTCCTTACCTATAGTTATAAACCAAAACCTTCCCAAGACACTTGTGCTCAGGGCATGTGCCAGCAGGGAGTAACTATAGCACACTGAAAGAACCGTTTATGGTGTGAGAGCAAACAATTATGATATAATAATAATAATCTCTATAGTTCATCCTTCCTTCTGAGAACCCAGTATCACCTTCCCTCCTCCCTGAGCTGTCCTGTGGTTGCCACTCTCCTGAGCTCAATCTCAAGACGCCCTCAAGCTAACAAACACCTTGCTGATACTTTTCTATAGTTTTTGTAGCTGTTCCAGATTATTTAGTGCTCCCTCAGGAAAGACAAAGTCATTTCTGCATACATTGTGGTGGGCTGTTTAGAGAGGGGCATGTTCATTTTCTGCACAAGAAATGGATCTTCTCTAGGATTTGTACATCTTGATTTATTCTTGGCTTAGAGTTTGAAGTGGGTGCTCTTCTAAAGGGATTTATGCATAGGTTCACTATTTTTGTAGTTATGGTTTATATGATAAGCTTTTTATATTTAAAATCAATATGTAATCCTGTGGAGGAGCTTATCCCCTAAAACCCCATTTGTAAATCTATTTTAGCTTTGTTACACAGCACAGCCACAGTCTTCCATGGATTGATTAGGCTCCACAGTGGAATCCTATCAATGGCCTGTTCTGATGATGAGGCAAACTCTTTCAGGATTGCTAGTTGACTGGAACTAAAGATAAGGCTTGACTGCAATCCCCCAATGTGCTCTTTACAAAACTAGTCTTAATTTTCATCAAAGCACCAGGCTTACTTATAGTGGCTAGTCTGAAGGTTTTTACCAGAACTTTAGGTCTTTCTGTTCAAGTATTTATACATATTTTTCTTGCCCCCCTACTTTTCCCATTAATTATCAACTTCAGCAAATAAACTGAATCAGAGCATGCACAATTAGCCCTATATATGAAAAAGAGGTTTTTTTCAAATTAACAAACGACCCAGTTGAGATGGACATAAACAGAATCTCTTTATTTCAACACTTTGGCTCAAATGCTGCGTCAAAACGTAATCCTATTTGTTGTGAGAAGATATGGCTTCTGTACCAAAAGTACACTGGAATCTTTAAATTAATCAGAACCCACACTATAGTCTCTCCAAGCTAAAGTCAGTTCACCTAGCCACTTAGCTGTGACTGGCGCTGTAGCTGAGCAGTCCTCTCCTTCAGTTTATAACGAGGTAATTCATAAAATACATGTGACATATCCAGGTGAACCTATTTGAAAGGATCTTCAAAATTTAAGCTTGAACATACCTGCTAATCTTGATTAATGTAGAATGTAATATTTTTAAATGATCAAAATAGTTTACTAATTTCTCAGTTGGTGTTCAACTATATATAATTTTAGTATATAGGTGTATATATGCAGCATAAAATAATTCCTTCCTACCACAAGAAACAAAAGTGTAGGTTTGCTAAGATAAATCTATTTATTGCACCTGGGTATTTACAGTAATGACAGTTAACAGCAAAAATCCACCAATTTTATGTTACAGTATTTTAAATTCTGATGTCAGTTAACTTTGACTCTAAAAATGTTTTTTTTTAAAACTACCTAAATATTTTTCAGTTTTAAATGTTTTTTCAACTATGGGGAATGTTGTTGAGATAGGAAAAATGAGATATACAAATATTCAATTTTTCAGGGATTACATATTGTTAAATTTTAATTTTCCAATGTTAATTAAATCCTGGCATTTTAAATAATTAAATAAAGCCTTTTTAAGTAGTCAAGTTCAGGGGAGTGATTCAGTAAGAATTATGTATTTGTTATTATTTTTTTCTTGGTTTAAATTTTTAATTTAGATTTTTATGTATGGTGGAGAAAATGTGCTTCCTGGTTGTAAAATTACCAAAATATCTTAAGGCAAAGAATTGTAAATCTTACACCTGTAATCAGAATTTTTTTATTCATTAAAACTACTAATTTAATAATTATAAAATTCAGTCATAGTTTTAGGATCTTTTCTAAGTTAATATTTCAAGAACTACAGTGAATATTAAACTAAAACTGTCTATCTTAAGAATCCTTCCAGTCACAAAGCCTGTTACCTCACTTGCTCTGGAGAGTAAGACCTACTTAAGAACAAGAACAGATTAGAATATTTCCAACATTCCTGTGTCCTTAGTCACTTGGGTCCAGAGAGTAAAGCCGATAGGTTTTGGCTTCTCTGCACTTCTCTTACTGTTAAAATTCAGACATAGTTTTTCTATGTTTCCTTCTTCCTTTCCATGCTATAGGATATTTTACCCTTTAAATGAGAGCATAATCATAGTCAGTCATTGAATATCTTTGTGTTTGTGATGTTTTGTATGGAATGTGGATCATTAGCATGGTGTGTGTAATGTGTGTATTTTTGTGTTTGAGCTTATAAAAGGAGCAGTGATAAAACTGAGTTACCGCCCAGCTGTCTCCAGCGTCACTAACCTTTACTGCATGATGATGCATCTAATTTTTAATTCGTAAATACAAGATAGCATTCCGTGTGGCACCATTTGCTTTCATAGAGCTGCTGAGCAGTTTGCGGTCTTGAATAAATTTTGCTTTGGAGGGGGGAGGGATTTGAACCAGCACATTCTTGTGTGGTTTGTGAAGATTCACATGGTAACCAGCATAAGCATTGTTAGGTTTATCTGAATAAGCACCAGCCATGTGAGTTTTAACATGATTTCCCAGAGCAATGGAGAGAGAAGAGAGAACCCCGAAGGATTGCACTTGTCTGGTTTTTGGAAAGTGTGTTTGCTGGGGGAGGGGGGCTGTAAGAGTCAGTGGCCAGGGTGCCTCCCCCACACACACACCCTTAAAGCTGGTGTCCCGTTTCCCTCCAGGTTCTCATTTGTTCTGCTATCTCCCCATCATCTACTTCTTCTTTTCATTGTTTACCTTCCTAATGAGGGAGGCGGGGTAGACTGGGGCTTGATTGACAGCTACAAGCCCTTACAGTCTGGCCAGAGAGCAGTTGGCTTTGGTTTCAAAAGTGTTTTAAATGTTAGATTGTGGTCCTGTTTTATCAAGTGAAACTGCTGCTCATCTTAAGGAAATTATCAGAGCTGAAAAGGTTAGGTTATGTATATCACGGGACACTAAAACTGGCAGAAAAATGGCCGTTCACCCGTAGAAAAAGCACTGCCCAGCACATTTTCCGACCTTTTAACATGGGAGTTTGAAAAAGAAATATGTGGGGTTTTTCTCCCCTTTGCAAGAGTGCTTCGATTTGAAACCACCCAGCAAATGTCTCCAAAAGAAAACTGGCTGAGATGCCGTCGAGAGCTGCAGTGTAATACTGCAGAGCACATTTATTTTTTTACTTCAAAGAAAAATGCTAATTAGCCGATTCACTACTTTTAAAGTTATTGTGAAGCATATGGCGCCCAGTGTGAGATACATCCAACTGCTAAAATAGAGCGGGGAGGAAATTAGCGAAGAATGGGCTGTTTGGGGTGAGAGTGGGGGCGGGGAGGAGAGTAGGTTCTCAGGCAGATTCCCCAGCCCTTTCAGAAGGATTTTACCAGCCTTTGCTTCCCCGCCTCCTCGTTTACCCACTCCCCCAGCCTCAAGCCCTGGGCCAACCTCTTCAGGACTCAGCTCCCCTCCCCCACTCTGCCTGAATTCAGGTACCTGCCTTCCGCCTGGCCACTGGCTCACACCTGGTTTCCAGCAGGCTCCTAACGTGCAGCACCAATAAGTATTTACAAAGTAGGGTTTAGGGCATGAAACCCTCACCCCCTCATCAGGCCCTCCCAGCAAACAGTACCCAGTGGTCCGGTTAACAGGGTTTGCTGAAATTTTAGGAAACTGGATTAGGCGGGAAGGGGAGGGCAGGTTGCGAGTGCTCTGAGCCCCTAAGGGTGGTAACTGGCTTCCCGCCCCGTGCAGACTGGCAGAAGACCGAGGCCCAGAAGCGACGGGAACAGCTCCTGCTGGATGAACTAGTAGCCCTGGTGGACAAGCGAGACGCCCTTGTCAGGGACCTGGACGCCCAGGAGAAGCAGTGAGTGGGGCTGTGTGGTGTGGTCTAGGAGAAGCCACCGGGCAAGGGGACAAGAAGTTTATAGAAAGTTCATTTTGGGGATCGGAGAGGGCCGGCGCCTTTGTGCCCCTCTTGCCGCTAGGGATCCAGATAGTGTGTACGATGTGCTGCTCTCCCGTCATGAGGAAAAATAATTCTGTCTTTCCTGTTTGTCTAACATCCAGAGCCGAAGAAGAAGATGAGCATTTGGAGCGAACTCTGGAGCAAAACAAAGGCAAGATGGCCAAGAAGGAGGAGAAGTGCGCCCTTCAGTAGCCTTGGACCAGACCTCTCCCAGCACTTCAGGCTTAGGTCCCCAGGCCAGAAACAGACTGGTTGATTTAAAACTTTTTAACATTTTGTTTAACTGGATTGTACTTCTGGAACGCCCCACCACCACCACCAATTTCCTCTTCTCCAGATAATACACAGAGCTCCAGATAGCTTTAAAGACTCTTTGTGAGTTAATCATGAAATCATTTTTGAAATCCTGTGAAGTAGATTTGCCCAGACACCTTGTGAATGATTGGTAATGAAGATGCTAAAGAAACTGTCCAGACGGGGGGTGGGGAGGCTCCCTGGTTATCTTCCCTTCTGTTTTGGATGAGAATTTGAAACATGTTTGTTGTAGTATTGTTGGTAATAGCGAAATGACAGTGGGTGGGTGGGACAAGGGGAGTAAGAAAATGTCATGAATGTTTTTTCCAATCCTGCCGTATGTAACACTGTTACTTAAATCTCAGAGTTAGATCATATTCTGTGTATTGACGAAGCTGTGTTCCATTTGCCAGTGGGATTTTCTGCAGTTGTTTGTATTTCACATAAAGATAATAAAGTTCCTCTCTGCTCTCCTCAGAGGACGGCCCCTTAAGGTAGCCCAAGACAAACCTCCAGGTTTGAAAGGTGAGCTGGAGAATGGCTCTGATGGATGTGCAGCACTTTACAAAGACAGTTCATCATCTGATAACGCGCCATCTTTTACTCTGAATAATTATTTATTACATCTTGCTTGGTTCCTACTTTTTGTTGGGGCTCAACATTGGCTCAAGAATGCTGTTAATATTTATTCTGTATTGAAAAAGTCTGTCTTGGCACTACAAGTAAATATCCCATTACATCTTCTCTAGCATAGCACTGTGTGTTTTGTGAAAATGGTTATGTTTATTTATTACAATACTGAGTCATATATAAATTTTCAATAAAAGCAGAAACTTTCTTACCTTAAACCCTGCCGCTATTTATTTCCTTGTAATGAATGCTTGAGTGGAAGTTTGTGTATCCGTAAGACTTTCCATGTGGAATGCAGCCCAGGACACTGGACTGTGTTTGGAGCTGACATAGGTCCAGAGGAGCTCTGAACACACAGAAGGCAAATTGCAAAGTCATTAGTCACATTCTTAGTGAGTGTAAGCTGTCCTTTGGAAAGAGTCGTCTCTCTGAAAGAGTCCAGGAGATGTACATAGTTCCACACCACTGGGGGGAAATGCATTGTGATGAATTTTTCGAGTCCTATGTAGGAGAACTGCGTCCCACCATAACCGCAAGTCTGTAGGTACTGAAATAGAAGGGAGCGGGCTACGGTTGGGGGAGGGGTTGTGTGGATATATGCATTTGAGACGGAGGAAAGAGAATTGTAGCAATTTCTATGCCACGGGTAAAAGTGGGCTCTTCTATATGGGGTGTCCGAACAAAGAAAGCTCTTTCAACAAGTCCGGAAACTTAAGGAAAACACTGGCATCTCAGGCTCTCTCTGTTCTCTCTCTCTGTTCTCTCTCTCTCTGTTCTCTCTCTCTGTTCTCTCTCTCTCTCTCTCTCTCTCTCTCTCTCTCTCTCTCTCTCACACACACACACACACACACACACACACACACACAGGCACTCACTTCACTCGAAAAGTATGCTGCCATTTCCAATTATTCGTCTTTCAAAATGGTAAAAACTTGCCACAATTCCCTGATGGCAAAGAATTTTCTTCTTTTTCTTTCTGATGAAGTTATTGGAACTAAATGAAATCGAGTCTTTGTCCTCTTTATGAGAGCAGAACAGCAAGACGCTGCTCTCTGGGGAAAATTCAGAATCCAACCCAACCCAGGTAAACCGGTACTAGGAAATTCACCGCCCGGAGCATCCTGGGGCTCGGTTTAGGGTGGATTGGAGATACCTTCCCTTTTCCAGGGGCCTCTCGGAAAGGCGCTTTCCCTTTCTCCCAAGCTACCCCAAACCTTCGAGGTGACAAAACTCCCCTAGCATTGCTAGTGATTGGGGGCCCCTCCTGCTTGGTTCCCAGCCTCTTGGGACTTCCCTCCGCTGCGCCCGAACGCCCCTCAGCGGCGGCGGAGCACGGACCGGGACCGCGGGGTTGGGCCGCAGCCTGGGAGTCGCGTTGCCGCAGCTCAGCACAGTGCCCGAAGTCGGGCTCCTTAAGGCAAGCTAGAACCGAGCCGGCCAGGGGAACTCGCTCAGTGTGAAGAGACAATGGGTCAGGGCTGTGGGGGGGATGGAAGCGTTTTATGGAGGGCGGGTGCAGAACTTTCTCTTGGCCAGGGGTCCAAGCCCCTTCTCAGTCCCAAGTGTTTCTAGTGTCACGCCACTCTACAGTGAGCATAAGATCACTTAGATGCTGCACCCAGGTTTGGGGCCCGCTTCTGGCCGATGGGCCTTAAGCTGAGCCATTGCCACCATCATCAGCCCTTCTCCAACGCTGTCCCTACTATGCCTTTGAGAGAACCTTCGAAGCTTCTGGTCCAGCGACCTGGACATTTGCCTAGCAAAGGCTGCCTCAATCTTCTGAGCTTAATTCAAG